GTCAATCAAGGACCTGCAGGCTCATAAGAAACATTTACCATTCCCTTAACTATCTAGAAGAATAAAAATTGAGGGTCTTACTTATAATCAGGCTTTTTACCAGAAATAACATTTGTATTGGAAGCACTATCTAGCAGGTAAACATCTCATTACAGAGCAGCTGGTCTTTGGCATGTGAGTCACCTTCTCCTCAGTGTGGGTCTCCTTCCTCTCCCCTTAAAGCCCAGGTCCCTGTTCCATTTCTTAGTTTAAGATATATCCTCTCTGTCAACTAAAAAAATAATCACTGAAGAATGGAGGAAAGAAAAACTCTATTTTCAAAGTCGAGGTTGATAGTTAACGAAGGGAAAAGCAAATAGTCCAACATGAAGAATGTCTTAACCAGCTGCTTTTCCCCACCCCCATGAGGTAAGATCCAGCTTATATACCTTTGAGAAAGGCAGGCTATTGGCATTAGAAAAAAAAAATCACATTAAAATAAGCATATTATCAGATGGTTTCACTTGGAGGAATATAGGGTAACCAAATAAGACACAGGGGAAAAAATAGTAACTATACATAACACAACACAACACAACACAACAAAAACAAACAGACAATTACAAACCAGAGACATCCTGTAGGGGAGGAGGTGGGAAAAGGATCAGAGGGAGGGAGGGAGGAGCGCAGGGTACACAGAGGTGCTGGTGCACGGGTGCATTGGTGAAGGAAATTCTGTGGGGACTATACCTGAGGGGAGGAAAAGCAAGCATTGTTTACAAATGAAAAATTATCTAAAAAATATATAAATATTAAAAAATACAAAATAAAATAAGCATATTAAAGTAATAAAGTATTTGTTTTCACAGGCATATGATAAATGTCTAACATCCCAGCAGAGCAGTTTTATGCATACTTGAAATCAAGAGATCATTGTCACTGTGGCAGATACAATCTGTGTGTGAGAAAGCAAGAACTTCAGAGATAAAAATCTAGCATAGAGAAGAGCACCCTCATCACGGACTCCAGGCTCTGGGCTCTTCAAATTGGTGGTCTGAGTGTAGCAGCATGAAGATTGGGAAAACCTTCCTGAACCTTTCACAGCTTATCTCTTTACTATCTCTTTGTCATAGTGATATCCTATGGCTGACTTCAAACCTCTGTAAGTTATTTTGTATTTTTCTGAACATTCCTCATCTCATTTGGCCCCACTGACATGAAAATCTACATCCACGTAATATAGACTACTAGAGCTCCTATGGAAAAGAGTATGGAAGCTTCTCAATATTAAAAATGGGTCTACCACATGATCCAGCAATTCCATTTCTAGGTATCTACCCAAAGAATGCCAAAGCACTAATCTGAAAGGATATTTGCACTCCCATCTTGACTGCAATACTATTGACAATAAGCAGGCTATGGAAATAACCTAATGCCCAAGGGAATATGAGTGGATTAGGAAAATGTAGATTGGGGAAAATATATGTACACAATGGAATACTGCCTAACTATAAAAAAGATGAACTCTTGCTATTTGCAACAATATGGATGGAACTAGAAGGGATAATGCCAAGTGAAATAATTCAGAAAGCAGAAGAAAACTATAGGATGGGTTCATTTATCTGTGGGAGGTACAGAAATAAAATAAAGGGTCAGACAAAAACAGACCAAAAACAAATCCTAGAAATCTCACTGTAGAATTTAAACTACAAGAAGGGGAGGAGGGAGGTGAAGTGCAAAGGGGGAAGGGACCCATTTGGACTGTGGTTGAAGACTATGAGTGCTGTGGTGGGTGTGGTGTGGTAACAAACATCTGAAGAGGTGTGAACCTGTACCTCTGAATCACCTACAGTGATGTTAACCAATGGCACTTCAATTGAAAAAAATCTAGGGTGCTGTGAAATTGTCTGCAGCCGGCAAGAATCCCACAATGTGCGGCAGACCTCTCTTGTCTCGCCCGCTGCTCCCCTCAGCAGTGTATTTCAGTCAGTTTGCCTGTTCTGTTCCCCACTCTGTCACTGGTGAATCCTTTCACCCTCCCACACATCTGGCCTGTACCCCAGTTCTTGTATGCATGAATAAATGCATCTTTAAAAAAATTTAAAAATCTATATCCGTATAAATCCTCCATATATATGTAATTAAACTTTTCCTTTTCTCCTACTAAACTATCTAAGGTCAATTTGGTTGCCTGATCAATATGAGAGGAACCCAGAGAGCTATAGGGTAAGTGCTTCTCTGACTCTACATAGGCAAATTCTGAGATCTAGAAAAAAGATGACCAAAAGGTATTGAGCATGCCCTGTCACTGCATACATGCTGCAAGTCTGGCATAGCAAACTCAGACTCAAATTCCTTTCAAAGTCATCCTATGACCTGTCGGTTAATGTCAAGTTCAAAAGCATTCAAAACCACCTCATGATCTGGCCCTAATCTATCCCATTCTTACTTCTTCCTGGCTCCCTCTTTATGCTCTGGTGATATTGGACTGGTAGCATTTTCTAAACTCACACTAATGATTCTCACCAACATGTTTGCCTTGGTGCAAACTCTTTCTTTTGCCACAGCACTTTCTTTCCATCACCCCACACATATCTCTACCACTGCCCCCTTAAATTTGTTATTACTGTTGTTATTTCTTCTTTCTCCATAGCAGGGTTTTCTGGAAGACATTGTTCCGACTCCTCTTTCGCCCACATTTGGCCCATACAATCCTTATAAACAACTTGATTTGCAAAAGAAAAAAAAAATGACATGTTGATTTACACTGTGATTTTAATAGACTACTCTAAAATTGTTGAGTTTTTCCAGACAGGGTTTCAAGATTTAGCAAATAAAATGAGTGGGCACCTAGTTAATTTTAAATTTCAGATAAGCAATGAATCATTTTTTAGTATAAACATAGTCCATGCAATATGTGTAGTTTATCTGGCATCCTTATCTCCATTTTATCAAGCTCTGTGCTTGTGCCACAGGAGGGAGACAGTTACACAAAGACATCACCTAAGGAAATGGATAAATACTTAGAGTGGGATTTCAAGTATCAGTCTGAGGATGGAGCAGCATTAGTCTGGCTAGAGCCTTCAACCTGTCCTGAATCACGACTGGAAAGAGATTGTCCCATGAGTCTGACTTTAGTACAGTAAGTTGTCACAGTTGCTTGGAAACTGAGACCTCAAGGAGAATGACATATCACAAAAGCAGATCTTTGAATAACATCACTTCGTTCAAAGTCAGCCAGGATCATGTTTGTCTCAACTTCTAGCAAAATGATGACTTTGAATAAAATAATGTCATTTGAAGACTTACTATATATTCAAATGTTTATTTTTCTGTGAGCATCTCCTCTCTACCATACTCTCACTCTGTTGTTGTGACCCCAAGTCTATCTTTAGCCCTATGCCAGCTATTGTTCAGCTCTGTCCTGGAGATATCCTAGTATCACTTCTAAAACTGCATTCCCAGCATTCATGCCATTTGCAGCAACATGGATGGAGCTAGAAGGAATTATGCTCAGTGAAATAAGCCAGAAGGAAAAAGAAAAATATCAGATGGTTTCACTTATAGCAGGGATATAGGAGAAACAAATCAGACATCAGTGTAAAAAAAATACTAACAGTACAAAACACAACAAAGCAAAAACAGACATTTATAAATCAGAGACACACTGCAGGCTAGGAGGAGGGAGAGGGATCAGAGGGAGGGAGGGAGGAGCACAGGGGACTGAGGTGATGGTGCACAGGTGCATTGGGGAAGGAAATTCTATGGGGACTACACCTGAGGGGGTGGGGGAAAGCAAATATTGTTTAAAAATGAACAATGATGTAAAAAAAAATTTGTAATTTAAAAAAATAAATAAAAAGAAAAAACAAAAGGAAATAAAACAGGGTTCCCAACAGGCTACACAGAGAAGGGTCTTGTGCCTGGTATATGATAGCCCATTATGCTTAAAATATTACAAAGAATCTTTATTTCTCTCTCCTCAGCTATTTGTAGCTATTCAGTCCAAGTAGTGAAAATAGAGACCACCATGGGAATAGTTGTCAAATCACAAGACATCCATATTCTTGCTCGCCTTCCACATACACACAAGCATTTGAATATGGAGTAGATTGACCTTAAGTAAATCAATTAATCCTATTGCCAACCTATGTTCTTATTCCCACTATTCCTTCAAAATAAATCTCATTCTATGACATATTAACAAATCATTCAGATTTTTCTATGGGAAGACAAAAGATACATCTGACACCATAAAGAAAAGCTTAACTTAAAATCCTCACTGGGGGCCTCCCTGGTGGCGCAGCGGTTGAGAGCTGGGTTGCGAAGCTGCCCACAGCCTCCGCAGTGCTGGTTTGAGCCCCAGATGCTCCCCGGCCACCAGAGGAGGGTCCCGCATGGCGCGCAGACCTCTCCTGCCACCCGCTGCTCCCCTCAGCAGTGTACTTCGGTCCTTCTGCCTGTTCTGCTCCCCGCTCTGGCTCTGGTGAATTCTCTCACCCTCCCGCGCTTCTGACTGTACCCAGTGCTTGTATAAATAAATAATAAAAAAAAAAAAAAAGTTAATTTTTAAAAAAAAAAAAATAAAATCCTCACTGGATAGCTCAGCTTCTCAAATCTCCTCTTTGATGATATGTCATCCCCTATGGTCTTAACCCTATCTCCCCACCTTCTGGTTCAAAATTGGTCCCACTACATTGACCCCACAACCTTCCACTCTTTCCTTATTAGAACTCTATTCTCTCTGGCTTTTCCAATCCAGCACACTCACCTATCATCTCAGTCACAAAGGGTACTCCTTTGAAAACAGTATGAACATTGTGTCTAACAACAGCTTTGCTACTTCTTCTCATATCTCATCATCATTTGTTCTGTCACAGGGAAAGCAAGGACAGCCTTAAAAGGTAAAATGAAAGCCAGAAAGAAGCATCTTGTAACTAAGAAATAGAAAGGAGGAAAAAGATCATCGCTTTGCCTTTTCAAGAACATAGAGTCAAGAAGACTATGGTTAGGAGTTTTGATTTTGCTGGGAAAGTAAGGGACTTTTGCTACAGTTTTCTTCACTTCTATGTCAAAACTCTTAACATTTGCATACTAACAGGGTATGTGTGTGTGTGTGTGTGTCCTTTAAATATTTACTTGTGGCAGAGCTTGTCATTGATCAGTTCACTGTTTCATTTGTATGTATTGTAATTTTTTTATTCATAAATATGTACACAGAACAAAATGTGATTGGGTATAAAATATTTATAATATATTAAAAGGCTCAAAAAATTAATGGGAAATCAATGGAGGGCAGAGATGTGGTGTAAATTAAATTAACAACCTAAGAAAATCATTTGATTGGATTTTTTATGGTGAATTTAATGTAGTATGTACACATGTTGACTTTAATTATGGGTATCTAAAACATATATAATGCTACAATGCAATTTTACTTCAAGTAAATAAATATAGCACAGGAAGGAAAATATTCAATATTTTTATTTTAAAAACTATTTGAACTAATAAAAGAATTCAGCAAAATAAAAAGAAAAGAATCTGATTTGAGATTCCTCTGGGTGAAAATTTTATTGTTAAATGGGAAAGAATAGAAACAATACAAGTGCAAAAGTTTTTGTAATAGGGCCTCCCCAGTGGCGCAGCGCTTGAGCACTGGGTTGCCAAGCTGTCCGCAGCCTCTGCAGTGCCAGTTCGATCCCCGGCTGCTCCCCGGCCACCAGAGGAGGGTCCCACATGGCACGCAGACCTCTCCTGCCGCCCGCTGCTCCCCTGAGCAGTGTACTTTGGTCCTTCTGCCTGCTCTGCTCCCTGCTCTGGCTCTGGTGAATTCTCTCACCCTCCCGCGCTTCTGACTGTACCCAGTGCTTGTATAAATAATAAATAAATAAATCTTTAAAAAAAAAAGGTTTTTGTAATAGCTCAGGCCTTATTGCAATAATTCAGAAGTTGTGACAATTCCAATGCAGTTATAGCTGTCTTTTATTTTATCTGTAAAAGAGAAGTCTCATGAAAACTTAATACTATAAGCAAAATTATAATAGAAAGCTAAAACTGCAATAGAAAGTTAAGAGTATAAAATATTTTAAATATATTGGAAGAAATCTTGTTCCAAGGACTATGTGCTAAAGATTGTTTTACACTCACTAGTTGTAAACAAATATTTTTGAAAGCTTGTTCTTGAAAAACTCCAATTGGGTAACAATTTGCCTTGTAGCACAAATATGTACAATACCTGGCATACAATATATACTCAAGAAAAATTTACTAAATAGATATATTTATCATTCATTTTTAAAATATATATTTTTGGCTCTCATTCTAACATTATACTTTTGGCTCTCCCAAATTTCAATGAATGGTCTCTCATCCATAAAATATTCTATAGAATAAAGTATGAATTATACTAGCACGTGTTTTAGAAAATTTAAAAGTAGACCAGAAATTATACTAGACCATAAAGTTAAACTGTATGGTTTTAAGCGAGACAATTTAGTAGGATTAAAAATTATGATGTGTCTGCTGACAAGAAAGCCAGCAAAAATTCAAGTTATTTATTTACTTAAACATTGGTCATATTAAAGGTGTGTCATTATTAGGTTTAAAGGATTTGTTTAAACATAATGAAGAACTTCCTGATAGTGAGTACTACTGAAAGAATGAGTGACAAGGAGAAATTCAGCATCTTCTTTTCTAAGAGATTTTATAAACATAACAGAAATTCATGTTTCATTAAATCTCTGTGAAATTCATAAGTCTCACTAAATTATGTAGAATCCCTTATATGCATAAAGTAGTAGTAAAATGAACTTGTGCCAAGCATGACTTCCATTTTTAAGTTTTAAAAGCAAATAATAAGTGAACAGTATTTCAACGGGGGACACAATCTGTTTAAGAAACCAAACTAATCAGCTATTGTTGCAACACAAAATCCATAAAAATAAGAACGGTGACAATAATAAATGATGATCTCTTTCTAAGAAGTCTTCCCCCTTCCAGGGTTCTTTCAAATTTAAAAGTAATCATGATGCAAAAAACAAATCTTAAATTCAAAAGTAGTAAGACTATATAAATAATCTCCAAGCCATCCCAGTTGATTAAGGTATCATTTCATTCAAAATCAATTGACCCTGAAAGATAATCAAGGAGCAACTTGTTCATGCAGAACATTTGTGCTAGTAACAAAAATAATAGTTATATCCTGCTTTCCAAGAATTTATTATCTAATTGAATACATATTCACAAGGACAAATTTAAACCAAAAAAAATCTGAAGTAGCTGAAGATAATTGTACAGTGCCCCATCTCCAGGATCTTTTAATCGCATGCTTTGAAACAAGAAATGAAAAGTAATTCCTACATCAAAACAGCCCTGAGAGTAACTTGCAGACAGAGAATTCCAAAATGACAAAATAACTGTGAGTATAAAGAAAAATTGCCAAGCCACAGTTCAGAGCTCTCTGCCATCCCCCCTCGTTCAGCTGCTTCCACTGGTAAGGATACCTCCCATCTCTGCCCACAGCCTTCTCTCATATGTTCTGGTCAATGGCCCTTACTCTGGTTTATCAAGATGGTCTCATCCAAATTCCATCTTCCAAAAATTTCATCAAAAATTTACTCTACAAATAGGCAAAGTCTTCTTAGATAAGACACCAAAGTACAAGCAACAAAAGAAAAGAAAAGAAATTGTACTTCATCAAAATTAAAACTATGTGTTCAAATAACACCACTGAGAAACTTAAAAGAAAACCCACAAAATGGGGGAAAATATTTGCCAATCAAGTATCTGATAAGGGGCTTGTATCTAAAATATATGAAAGACTCTCACAACTCAATAATAAAAAGATGAAATGCATACAGGATCTAAGTAGATATTTCTCCAAAGAAGATATCCAATGACCAAGTACATTAAAAGATGTTTGATAGCATTAGCCATTAGAAAAATGCAAGTCAAAGTCAAAATGAGATACCATGTCACATTTACTAGGATGGCTATAACCAAAAATTACAGATAATAACAAGTGTTACAGAGGATATGAGAAAATGAGGACCGTCATAAATTGCTCATGAGAATGCAAAACATTTTGTCTTCCTTGGAAACAGCTTGGCAGTTTTTCAAAATGTTAAACACAGAGGTACCATATGATGCAGTCATTCCACTTTTAGGTTTATAGTCAAGAAAAATACAAATGTGTTTTTTTTTTTTTTTTTTTTTTTTTTTTTTTTTTTTTTTTTTAATAAATTTTATTGTTATATTCCCCATACAATTGCAGCCCCCCCATTCTGACCCCAATCCCTCCCCTCCCACCCCTGCCCCCCTAAAAGTGTCTCTGGTTCATAGTTTTTTGTTGATTTTGATTTTCACTTTCTTATAGTTATTCATTTTCCTGGTCCCTTATTTAAGTTTTCTAGATTCCTGCTATGAGTGAGACCATCCGGTATTTTTCTTTTTCTTTTTGGCTTATTTCGCTGAGCATGATCCCTTCCAGCGCCATCCATGTTGCTGCAAATTGCATGTGTTTATCTTTTTTGAATGCTGAGTAATATTCCATGGTATATATGTACCACATCTTCTTGATCCAGTCATCTATTTTTGGGCATTTGGGTTGTTTCCAAAGCTTAGCTATTGTAAACAGTGCTGCTATAAACATAGGGGTGCAGGTGTTCTTTGGAATTGATGTTTCTGTGTCCTTTGGGTAAATACCTAGGAGTGGAATTGCTGGATCATATGGAAGCTCTATGTTTAGTAGGTCCAGAAATCTCCATACAGCTTTCCACAGTGGTTGGACCAGTTTGCACTCCCACCAACAGTGCAGAAGAGTTCCTTTTCTCCACACCCTCGCCAACATTTGTTGTTGCTAGTTTTTTTAATATGTGCCATTCTCACTGGTGTAAGATGGTATCTCATGGTAGTTTTGATTTGCATTTCCCTGATGACAAGTGATGTTGAACATTTTTCATATGCCTGTTGGCCATTTGCATTTCCTCTTCAGAGATGTTTCTTTTAAGCTCTTCTGCCCATTTTTTGACTGGATTATTTTCTTTGTTGTTGTTGAGTCTCATCAGCTCTTTGCAGATTTTTGTGATCAGTCCTTTATCATTAGTGTTGGGTGCAAAAATGTTCTCCCAGTTGGTGGGGTTTCTCTTTGTTTTTGTTATTGTCTCTTTTGCTGTGCAAAAGCTCTTTAATTTGATGTAGTCCCAGCTGTTTATCTTTGCCTTCACTATCACTGCTTTGGGTGATGTGTCTGTAAAGATGTCTTTGATGTGCATATCACGTAGTGTTTCGCCTATATTTCCTTCTATATATTTTATGGTTTCAGGTCTTATGTCTAGTTCTTTAATCCATTTTGAGTTGATTTTTGTGTATGGTGTGAGGTGGTGGTCAAGCTTCATTCTTTTGCATGTAGCGACCCAGTTTTCCCAGCACCATTTATTGAACAAACTTTCTTTGCTCCAATGCATATTCTTTGCTCCTTTGTCAAAGATTAGTTGACCATAAATCTGTGGGTTTATTTCTGGATTTTCTATTCGATTCCATTGGTCTGTATGTCTGTTCTTGTTCCAATACCATGCAGTTTTGATGATTATGGCTTTGTAGTATAGTTTGAAGTCTGGGAGTCTGATGCCTCCATTCCCTTCTTTTTTTTTCAGGAGAGCTTTGGCTATTCGGGGTTTTTGGTGATTCCATATGAATTTCATCAATAATTGTTCTATTTCTTTGAAGAATGACATTGAAATTTTGATTGGAATAGCATTGAATCTGTATATTGCTTTTGGTAGGATGGCCATTTTAATAATGTTTATTCTTCCAATCCATGAGCAGGGGATGTCTCTCCATTTCTTTGTGTCTTCTTCTATTTCTTTTAACAGTGTTTTATAGTTTTCTTTGTATAGGTCCTTTACCTCTTTTGTTAGATTTATTCCCAAATATTTGATTTTTTTTGTTTCAATAACAAAAGGGATGGTCTTTTTGATTTCTTCTTCTTCAGATTTATTGTTTGTGTATAGGAAGGCTACTGACTTTTGCGTGTT